AGGCATACGTCATATAATTAAAAGCAATTCAGAAGATAGAAATATTACAATAAAAAGTTCCTCTATAATGTTTCGATCATCCGAGTGCCTGAATCGTTGCCTATCCACAAGTATTTGAAAGGGGGAAAACCGTTTGAAAAGTGAGCTAGGGACTCAGTGTATTCCATTAGTGCAATAAAAACATAATATGAAAAACCATCAAGTAATAGTCCAGTAAAGTATCATGGAAATCCTGATAAAACACAAGATATTAAATCACATAGTATACCCTCATCCCTTACACCATATGTAGTTCCCCAGAACTACGTCCATAGGGCAACCTTATACCCATTGGGTATAAGAAGCCAACCTAAGGGAACATCTTGGGGCCTGAAAGCCTACCCAAGAGTCGCCTTAGGTCCGTAAGGATTTACCAGTTTGATCAGGGTTATACCTCCACACTCCAATATACCCAGATAATATCCTCATAAATTAGTTCACATAACAAACAAAGATTTCCATGATCCGTATTCGGTAAAATAATACCCTCCAGTGAAAACAATCATTTAAATATCACGCATCATTCCATCATAGTTCATAAACCATCATCCATTGAATCCTAAATTTCAGTGAAATATATATATATCAAATCAGATAAACCATCGAGTAGCACATAGAGAACACACCTCGTAAAATAAGACACATAGTAAAATTACTGAGCACCGACCTTGTCATGCTCTGCTACAGTGCTCGAACCTAATTCATATAAATCAAAGTTAATATTGAAGTAATATTTTAAATCGGGGTATTCAAAAAGTTCACGGTTCATACGAGTGATTATCGACTCCCATGGCCTAACGGATCGAGAAGAGCTAGGTCGAGCTGGCGAGCGGTCGGATAAGTCTCTAGTACCTTCAAACAATAACAATTTATCAGTCCCAAGTCTTACTTTAATTTTTCCAAAATTAAAACATTTAATTACTTAAGCATATTTAGGTTTAACGGTCAATTTGGAGGTTTTCGGGTTAGAATTTGGTAAAACGAACTTCAAAATCAGGCTCAGAATGTCGGAAAATATAAAATAAGGCTGTTAAATTTTTTGACTTTTTCAGTCAAAGTCAAAGGTCATCGGGTCGGGTAAGTCAACGGGTCGGGCAGGCGAGTCGTTTTGCTCGAACCGATTTCCAAAATTCTCTTGGACCGGCCGAAGACCCCCACGCGCATTGCCAACTCATGCAGCAGCGACAAGGGCCGCTATCACTGGCCCATCACTCCAATTTTAACTACACAATCAAATTTATTAGATACTAGCCCAAAATCACAACGTAACTCATCGAATTTACTAAAAATAAACCTGTCAACTTACCCCCAACAGCGGTTAATGACGGCGCGAAGATGAGGGACTAAATCGACCGGGTTTTGGTCGCATGACGTTGGTGAATAAGGTGGTGGAAATGGTGAGGCGTGACGCTCGTCGATTCGGTCGAAATCGCCGAAAAATCGAGGCGTGTCGAGGGGAAATGTGAAGCTTGAAACGGGGTTTCGTAGCTTGAGATATCGTTTCATGATGAATTGGGGGTTGGGTTTTGTTCGTTGGACAATGACGCATCGAATGAGGGCGGTGGCGACAGTCGGAGATGGCCGGATGGCGAGGAATCGACCGTGGAAAATGACGGTTAGGGTTAAGGTTAAGGGAAATTGGGAAAATTTAGGGATTTTTGGGAAATAGTTTGGGGTTTACCCAATCGGGTAATTATATTTTTATTGGTAATAAGAAATGGCTAATTTCTTGTTTAATCCATGCATTCATCAAAACTTCCTAAAATGGTCTGCTAACTTCATCAGATTTCAATCTAGTCACTAAATTTTACCCAAATAAATCTTTAATTAATTCTCTAATTTTTCCTAAAAATTTGGGTTGTGACACTTTGATTGAAAACAAGGGCTGAAGATAAAAAAAATTGAGCCTGTTTACACACATATTAAACAAGGAAAATGCCATTTATAGAGGATAAATAACCATTTTTCTCGCTCAACCGTAAAAAAATTACCCAAAGTATTTGGGATTTGATTCATGAGTTTGACATATATTTCTTTGCTTTCAGGTTTGGACATCTTCTATATTTTTAAGGGTAAGTTAGATCAGATATCACTGAATTTTACATGTTGACTCGTTTATAACACTAAACTTTTAATTATGCTAATTATAGTATGAACTTTAGTTTAAATTTAATTATGTTACTCTAGCGTTAAGTTAATAATGAGACGATAACATGACTAACAGTCGATGAGGTGAATGTCACGCCAAAACAACGTCGTTTTAATGCTAAAAAAGACTCAAAATAACGTTATTTTACTTAGAAAATTTTATGTGAGAACCTAAGACTAGAGGAGGGATACTTGAAAAAAGCTTTCTATGGGGGAAAATGTCTAACCGTTGACACCAAAGTTGCAAACTACGCCCAACCCCAAACAAAATCAAGTGTTTTCGAGCTTATACGGATGTCGGTGGCATCGTCTTGCTCTTAGAAGCACCCAAGTGGGTGACCTTCAGCTTCTCGAAATACGGTGAATGGATGGATGTTTACCCTTACGCCACTCAAATTGTAATCAATCTCAAGGATCAGATGGAGGTCATCACCAATGACAAGTATGATATGTATAATATAATATATTCATATAATAAATAATATTTTACTTTTAAAACATAAACTATAAATAATATGAAATATATGATATGTATATTATATTTATAATAATATAATAAAATTTAAAATTAATCTAGTAATTGAATTATTGTCTTTATTTCCAAAAGTTTGGAGTTTAAATACTCAAATACAAAATTTTAATAATTTTTGTTGTTTTGAATTTTTTTAACATTAAAATAATCACATCAAAAATGACCTCATGTTGATGTGATAATCACGTCATCATTTGTTAATCATATCTTTGTTATGTTATTGATTTAACAATAGAGTAAGATAATAGAATATAAAACTAAAATTCAATATTATATGTTAGCTCTAATATGATATAAAAGAATCAACAAAATAATATCTGATGTAGTTTTGTTATTTAAAAGTAAAATATTATACGAACTAAGCGACCTCAGTGATTAAGGGATTTGTTGTTATCTCTTAAGGTTCCGAATTTAAGCATCGCATATGTAGGGGTATAAGTGTTCATTATCAAAAGGATTGAGAGTCTTTAAACAAATATTACACAAAGTCGTCTCAGACATTTTTGGAGCCCCGAGCGAAACTAAAAAATAAGCCCTTATAGAATGAAAGTATATTATATTATTTTGGACAATTAATTTAATAAATTATTAATAAATTGTAGGAAAATGATTAAATTTTGTCAAACATTATTTTTAATAATTTGACAAGAAAATACTTTAAATACAACTAGGAGAATAAATAAAAAAATGAATTTATGTAAGATACGGATCTTGATTTTGAATAATGAAAAAAAATAAAGAGATACAATTCAATAAGAGTCAAAGAAAAAATATTTGGTAATAGTCAAATGAAAAACACCTTAAATACATTTACTATAATAATATTTTACCATTAGATTGAGATTAAAGAAGACTAAGAGTCACTAACAATTAGATGGTCTAGTGAGATGAGGCACTAGGTCCCTTAAACAAGGTCAGAGGTTTGAATCCTGACGTTTACGAATGGAGCAAACTGGATTGGGAGGGTCGCCATTGCCTCTGTAGTACCCGATCTAGATTATTCGGTTAATAGATCGGATATCAGTGATTAATTCAAAAAAAAGACTAAGAGTCAAATAATATTTGATAAGTTAAAGAATACAATTTGAAAAAAAAGTAAAAAAATATGATTATATTTAATTCGAAATTAAATGAACTAATGAGAGGGATAGAGAAAAAGATAGAAAATTGAGAATTTTATGGAATTGGAAAAATTAAAGACCTCAATTATAAATGTAAAAAGTGTGATTGAAAAATTAGAGGCCTCAATTATAAAGGTAGGAAGTGAGATTGAAAAAAATCAGGGGTCTCATTGATAAATGTAAAAGTAGGATTGAAAAAATTAGGACCCTTAATTATAAAGGTAAAAAGTGAGATTGAAAAAAATAGGGGATCAATTATAAAGGTAAAATGTGATATTGCAAAAATTAGAGACCTTAATTATAAAGGTAAAAAACAAAATTAGAAAAAATAGGAAATTCAGTTATAAAGATAAAATGTATGATTGAAAAAATTAGATACCCTATAAAAAATGAGACATTGAGTAATTCATCATTATATTTATCTGAAATTTATAAAAATAATAAACAAGAAAAAATATTCATTAACATTCTTTCATCTAAGTTGGTACTAATTCATCATTTCAATGTGTAGCAAAATTGTCAAATTCATGTAACAGACCGTAATCGTCCATTGAAGGTAAATAAATAAAAGAAAGAATATAAGAAAAACAATAACATCATGGGGAAAAGTTTTTAAAAAAATATTTTTAGAAAATAAATATTTATTTTAAAAATGATACTGTAGATTACAAAGTATATATTTAAAGGTGTTATATATAAAAAATACTCTCTTAATGTTTCATATTTGAGGTGGATTTATATTTTTTTAAATAATATGAGGTAATTATATGAAAGTATTTTGTTAGAATTTTTAAATTTATTAATAATATATAAACACAATTATTTGAATCTAAATACTCTAAACTAATTTTATTAAGAGATTATTCAATAAATTCGTATTTTGAATGAAAATAATATATGGTTTTTATTCATAAACCCAAATTTTGACCAAAATTTTCAAACCAATATTCGGACCGGATAAATAACCCTACCCTGTACGGGTGTAGATTACAAATATCCAAAACCAAGACATAGTTGGTAGCTCATAATGACTGGTTCAAGACTTCCAGTTCAGAGAAGCCCATAATAACTGGTTCAAGACTTCCCGTTCAGAGAGGCCCATAATGACTGGTTCAAGACTTCAATCTCTTTGCGCTGTTCCGAGCATCAGAGATAGAACCATTAAACAAATCAGTTCTTGTAGACTGAAACAGAAACTACCTTGATTCTCCACAGTTGCTAGCTGAGCACATTCCGTTCACTTTCCCCAGAAATGGAGCGAGGAGCAGAGGCTGCAGAGCCAGACCAACAACAGTTAATATGGAAATCTGAGCCGGAATCAATGGTTTCTGTCACAATCGGCAGAGCCATGACCACTCTCCTCGCCACCCGTCCCAAGAAACTCCACCACTCCATTTCTCGCCTTTCCCTCGACTCCTCCATCAAATCCTCGCTTGGTAGTTGACGCTCCCAAACGCCTCAGTTCCTGAATCTTTCTAAATTATTTCTAATAAAGTTAACCTTTTTTTTTTAAATGTTAAAATTTCAGACTCTTTGGATGATTCGCTCCGGTTTCTTCACAAGTACACTCGAGATGCGGTTCAGAGAGGCGAGACTTTGGATGAGATTCTGGTTCCCATGATCCAACACGTAATCAAACCTATCTTTCTTTTTCTATTTTTTTCACAAAAATTTAAAATTAACTTCAAATATTATAAAGTTTTGTTGATTTTGTATTCATAGATATGTTTTTATTTATTTATGTATGTATTACATATAAAAAAAGAAAGTGAGAAATAAATTACAAAGGAGGTTTATGTGTTTGCTTGCTTGTTGCCAGTCATTGACGTTCAAGGACTCAAAGCATGACATTCAACCTATGATACTTCTCAATTGGCTCTTCCAAGACGGGCTTCTTTTTCAAGCAGTTTCCATGAATCTTTCAAATATCATTGTAAGGAAAGATGACCGCTATATAGCTTTTGGTTGGTGTACTCTTGTACGAGGACTCATGGAGTACGAAAATGTTATGGATCAGCATTTGGTTAATGGTAAAGAGATGAATTCCTATTCTATTTCTATATAAGTTGTCTCTATGGTGTAGAAAATGAATCTATCATGTGGAATCATAATGTTAGAATTGCTATTTTACCTTTCTTGGTGTCAACAAATTCATTTTAAATTCCCTATACTATTTTAATATAAGTTAACATTGTTCATTGCTCTACATTCTTCAAGGCATCTAGTCTAAGTCTCTAAGGAGTATATAATGTATCTCTGTGTTGTGGAACCATTATATCAGTCTCCTTGCCATAAGTTCTACATTTTTGGTATGATTTTTTTTTAAATATAAAAAATTGGAAATATGATTCTTTTAATAGGAAAATGCATAATTTTAGTTTTATGCGGAACCATTATGTTGGAACTGGTGTTGCATTTTATTAATTTGGTCATTTAATTATGAGTTTTCTTTCTACTTCTTATTTTTGCTTTTTAGCATATCTTTGAGAATGAAAAAGAAAGTTCCAAAAGTAATAGCCAAACACAGACTTATTTTCTGTATTTGTGTCTTGGTAGAATTTTTTTTTCTTGCCAAAATTTCCAGTTTAGCGGTTTATATTCTGCTGAGTCTGTTAAATAATCTTTAGTAATTAAAAATTGTGCTTTCACTCATTTGGCATTGAAAATTGATGATTTTTTTTGAATAATTGATTTCAGGAATAAAGGAGAAATACAATGCTTTGTTGAAGACACTTTGCACTTCTATACCACATTTATCATGTATTGCTCGCAAGGGAAGGTAGTATTCGATACCATAGGCATTGACTAACTGCTGCTGAAGTGACTAAGTGGTTATTAATGGTTTCTTGTGCTCTAATGATCTGAACTAGTTTGACTTTCCTTAAGTTTTTGGTTTGTCAACTGGAAGGTCTTGAACCTTTTTCTGATCTGTCGGATGGTAAATTAGGCATCATGTAAGCTAGAATTTTCATCTTTTCTTTCAATTTTCTGTCGGGGTTACCTAATGGTTTTGATTCACATATTGAAAGGCTGCTCTCTTGTACCCCTTCTACCTCCCCTATATTTGGATTTCAACTTGAGATCTTGACAATGAAGACTCAACTCTAACCCTTGGGTATTTCTAATGCTAATAGCATTTCTCTTCTCTTAATGTGAATGATGCTTCACTTAATGTATTTGGTTTGTCAACTTGAAGGTCCTGAACCTTTTTCTGATCCGTCGGATGGTAAATTAGGCATCATGTAAGCTAGAATTTTCATCTTTTCTTTCAATTTTCTGTTGGGGCTAACTAATGGTTTTCATTCACATAATGAGAGGCTGCCCTCTTGTATACCATCTGCCTCCCCTTTATTTGGATTTCAACCTGAGATCTTGACAACGAAGACTCAACTCTAACCCTTGGATATTTCTAATGCTAATAGCATTTCTATTCTCTTAATGTGAATGATGCTTTATGGCTTCATCTGTATCTGATTTCGTGATATCTTGGAAAGGTATTTTTTAAAGCCCTTAGATGAGAGATTGACATTATATCTACTTCAACAAAGTGTTGTCTTCCTAGTCTCCACGTTTTGCAACATGAGAATTTAGAGTATTATGTAAGATGACATGAAATGTTGCCACTATGTATGTCTCATTTGTCAGTATACAATTTTAAAAAGTGGTTAATGGTCTTTTCTTTTAGAAGGTATTGTGATTTTATGTTTAGCTGATTTATCTCACAATTGCCGTTTGTTCCTATAGCATTTTGCAGGATAAATTTGAGCTCCCTTCACGCCTTTCAGTCGCCGCTGCAGATTGTTTGTTGGCTTTAACTGAAGGGTTAACGAAAAAGCCTGATATGCTAAGTAACAGAACTAAAACATTGAAATCCAGTGAATCTAATTCTCCAGTTAGTTTATTAGCGTCAAGAATTGATGGGAGAAAAATAAGCACAGGTCATAAATTTTCTGAAGTCGTAAACATGGATGTGTCAGATTTGCTTTGGGATTATCTACAATATCTCATTTACTTAGTGGAGAAACTTCTCGCTGTAAGTGTTATAAGTTGGTTATTTTCTTTTTTGTCCAGTGTCTACCCTTGCTTATCTGCTTTCTGTATCTTCATTCATCAGAAAGATTGCATTTTATTTTTCTGTTTTTAGCATATGATTACATTAGATGTCTACAGGGTGAGTGTTCTGAATGGTTTCATGGATGTATTTTTGTGTGGTTATATTCTCCTTTTTACCTATTGGAGAGAAGAACCTAGCCAAAAGGGATTGGAGAAATGGAAAAGTTGCTTAGAGTTGAGGGCTTGGGTCTTGCAATGTATCCTACAAACTTATTTAAAGCAACTGGGAAGTAGAAAAAAGTTAAAGGCGTTCTTTTACCAGAGAATACATCACAGATTTTGAGAATCAAGAATGAACTTTAGAAATACAGGACAAGAAAAGCTATTAAACTGGAAAAACAGGCTGCTAATGCTCATCATAGCTAGGAAATCAAATGCTAAGAACTTAACAAAGTGAAATTTGAGCTATCATTACTTGGAAAGATCGATCTTCCTCTAAATTATGGTTTGAATACTAAGGGAAGAAATGAAAATGAATCCTTTAGGATATGGGTCATAAAACTGGTCTTGAAAATAGCTTTGTGATGAAATTTTAACTGTTTGAAGAAACTGTTTTGGTAGTGTCTTTAAAACATTGGAAGATGATTGCTTTGACCTTATTAGGGTGTATGGTTTTCTTTACAATAGGTTGCACAACACCCTTTTGATAGGAAGTTGGGAAAGCGAAGTTACCTGCTAATTCTGGTAAAAAGCACCCACTTGTTTGGCAAAATTCTTTTGCTACTTGTTTCACAAATATTAACTAGTACGATCCCTTGTTAGCCCTCGAAAGTGTTATTTTCTTACTATTAAATATAGTTCCAACACAACTATTTCTAAATATTAAACCAGAGTTATTCTACAACAAATGTTTGAATTGTTTTGGATATGGATCATAAAATTGGTATTGGAAATAGCTTTGTGATGATATTTTAAGTATTCGAACTAACTATCTTGGTAGTGTATTTAAAACATTGGAAGATGATTGTTTTGACCTTACTAGGTCGAATGGTTTTCTTTACAATAGGTTGCACTACTCCCTTTCTGGTAGGAAGTTAGAGAAAGCGAAGTTTTCTTCTAATTCTGGTAAAAAGTACCCACCTGTTTGACAATTCTCTTCTTTTGCTACTTCTTTCATAGATATTAACTAGTACAATTCCTTGTTGGCCCTCAAAAGTGTTATCCTCTGACTATTATATACATTTCTAAAACAACTTTTGGTAAAGTCTAGAAAGAAAGTTGAGATGACTAATTGTAATCAGAATATCTCTCTTCTCAAATTTGCATGTGAATATCTCATAACTTCTTACAGTAGTGAAGGATTTTCTGTGTAGTCCTAAAAACCAAAATAGGAGGCTGATGCATTTATTATGCAAAACAGTGGAGCCGAAAAAGTCGTCCATTGCATGCTAAAGGATTGGAGCAAGTGCTTAAGTGGTTGCAGGAGATACAAGTGCATTATGGTGACCTTCAAGAAGAGGCAGGTCCTATACTCTTTAATTGTGCTTCTTAACCGTGCCTACCTTCAATCATGTTTGTTGTTTGTTGAACACGATTTGCTCATTTGCAATCATGATGGCAGGCACAGATTCTAAAAACCAGAGCATTACTACTCTCTTCATGCTGGAAGCACTATGGCACGCTATTACACTTAGAGGATAAAAAATCTACTAAGCAGTACAAGGAATTGTTGGACCAGTACTTGTCCGGCATCCAGGTCAGATATATCATTATTTTATTCTATAACATTATGACATTTATGGTTATATGGCTTGATGCTTCTATATTTTGGTGATGGATTTTGTTCACATGATATGCTTGAGATTTACCTTATAGAAAACTTTCAGCTCCTTGTTGACTTTGGTTTCCTGATGATATAAACAAGTTTTAGTTTTGAATTATTGAAGCTTAATCACTTTTTTTTTTATAGAAATAGGAGGCCTCATTAAAAACCTCCCTCATAGTTGGCTCTTGTGAAAGAGGCAACTAGTGGAAGGAGGAAAAGAGCACCCAATTTTATTGATAAGCCTTAATACATAAGACTACAGGTTACAAACTTACTTCATGAAATACAATACAGAAACAAAATAACAAAGAATTTGAACACATTCAACCAATCCCATCCTTAGCTAACTTGTCTGCCTCCCAATTACAACTCCTAGGAATACATCTAATGATAATATCCCTAGAGGAGATTAACGCCCTAATTTCCCCAACCAAGGTCGAAAAAAACGTTGGTGCAGTAACTGGCGTCAAAATCCAGTCCACTGTTGTTTTGCAGCCATTCTCTAAGATTAATCTTCCTTTTAGAACCCATTCAGAAGTAATGAATAAATCAATGCCTTGTTTAATAGCCTTCAGCTCAGCAAACATAGCAGGACCTTGTCCCACAGTAGACGAGAAACTGATTAGAGTAGAACAATTCGAATCCTTCAAAACTCCTCCAATTCCACCCCGCGACCCGTCGCCTTTAACCGCCCCATCAACATTGAATTTAAAAAAATCTGGAGGAGGTGGAGACCAACATTGAACCTTTATATTCTTCGAGGGTTTAACAGAAACCCTGTTTGCAAGTGTTGGATCCCCTACAAGTAAATCAGCCTGAATATTAGCTTGGGGAAATTTAGCTAGAAACCATTTAGCCAGCCTAAATCTGGAAATGAAGAACAAAGATGACTGTCAAATTTATAGTTATCGAAAACCACTGAATTCCTAGCCTTCCATATAGACCACAAGACAACACCGGGGATAAAATTCCATATATAAGAATGCTCCCTTCTATGAGACCAAGAAGAAAGTAGGGCAGAAGGATCTTGAGGCAAAACAGAGGAGATATCCCAAAACCTAAAAATCTATTCCACAACTCCCCTGCAGCAGAGTAGGAAATAAAAAGATGTGGAATTGTTTCCTCATACTTAAGACAAAAAGGACACAACTTCTTGCATAGGAACCCCTCTTTTCTTCAGTTCCACTCTAACATCCAATTTTTGGTGACTAATCTGCCATAGAAAAGTTTGAACTCTAGGAGGAATCAATCCAGACCACACCCACTTGTTCCACTGAGAAGTACCTCCCATACTGCCTGAAAGTGTCATTCTGCATGACTTCACCGACAACAGACCATCATCTTTCCCCAACCATGCAAGAAAATCATCCACTGATTCGTTCAGTGCTATATTCTCAATCAATAGCATTAAATTAAACCACTGATCCAATTCCCAGTCACATGGATTCCTCCTCAGCTGAATATCCCAAACCCAACCATTATTGACAAAGCAACCAAATTCAGCCAATTTCCCCCTTTTATTAGTCGATAAAGCAAAAATCCTAGGAAATTGATTCTTTAGAGGATATTCATTAACCCAAACATCATTCCAATACTCAATTGACCTACCATTCCCAACTTGGATCTTCAAGTGGGACCTCAAACACTCCCCTATCGCGTCCTTTTTCTCATAGTTGTTCTGAATACCTCTCCATACCCATGAATCCTGAGGAGAAACTGCCTTGCATAATGATAGTGATAAATTACTGACATTTTGTCTGCAACACAGTAGTTTTTTCCATTGATTGAAGCTTAATCACTAGTAGCCCCATATGCCATGAGCAAGAGTCAAGCATGCAAATATATACTTCTGTTCAATTGAAGGAAATGACCATCCAGCTCAGTTGGTAGAGCACAAGGTTCTTAACCTTGAGGTCGTGGGATCGAGTCTCACGGAGGGCATTTCATAATTCGGAGGTCTCTTACGGAAGCTGCTCTCAACCTGGTGTTGGGGGTAGCCTACTATCTTACCTCCCCTTACCCCATACATATGGGAAAAAGGGACAGCCAATCTTCTGTTCATTTGAAGATCCTTCCTTGCTTTCCGTTCAATTGAAAAACAGGGAAAAAGATATTTACAATGAGAAATCAGAAAACAAGGGCACTTTGGATGCTGATTGTGAAGTCTATGATTTTATTGAGCATGCAACTGTGAACAGATTTAGGTACACCGATGCACAACAGAACTTGTAACTATTAATCGGTAAATCGCTTGAATTTACGCTCTTTTCTTGATGACTTATGGTATTGTAAGGTGAAACTAGAAACCTTCTAAACATTTTAATGCACAAATTCATCTTTAAGGATGTTTTGCATTCCCTTTTTCTTGTTGAGTACGCTGTCATAGTGTATTATATACATATAATTTTTCCCCATATGGTTCTTCTCACCCTTCCCCTCGATTTGGGTGTATAGATGCTTGCACATTGTTTTTTGGCGGACCTATTTGATGGATGGCATCATTAGTAGTTATGCCTAACTTCCTTATTTATCTTTTAGTTCTAGTTAGTTGTCAATACTTTCACTGTATCACACATATTTGAGTTTCCTGTCTGTTTAGAATTTTACTTCTGAAACTATTTGGAAGTCGGTAATAGTAAAAAATATTACTTGGTAGCTTTATGAAGTTGTATATATGAGTTTATGCCTAGTGTCACTAGAATTCCTAGAAACAACATGATGGTTCTTGTAAGAGCTCATGTAGGATGAGTGCATTAATGGGATAACATACATGTATCACCAGGTACTTTTCTGTGGGATCATGATGCTGTCTTGTTATTGATTTTAGATTTAATATTAAGCCTTCTTTTATCTGATGGATCTGTTATGTTGCTAATGCTAGTACTATACAAATAACCATGTCGAGGGGCATGCTGAGAACAAGGATGGTGGTATAGAGACCATAAAATTTTTCATAAATTGCTTATGCCTTCTGCTTGGGCGATTTGATGAGAAAAAATTTGAATGCATATTGTTGGATTATGGAAAGCAGATATCACATGTTCTTTTATCACAGGTAAGTATTCTTGAGTTTTTGAAGTGATCTTTAGTTAAATAAGAACTGCAATGTGTATGTCTTTAACACTTCAACGGAAATGAGTTGACGATTGTACTCAATCTTACCATCCATGATTCTCTAGATTTAAGGATCTATGATGCATTGTTGTCATTTTATATATCACAATTTTTTAGGGATTGTCTCAATGTTGACATACTCATACTGGTGTCTGTTCTTGCTGCATTTTGGCAAGCTTCATTGCACTGATGAAGATGTAATAGATGGGGCTGTCCACATATTCAAGGTTATCATTTTTAAGACAAATGATTCATCCGGAGGCAGTATATCTGACATCAATCAAATGGACTCTGTGGTACTATTGCTGCTTCACCTTCTTGATGAGAGAGATACTGCAGCTAGAGCCGTTGTTATGCTCATTGCAGAATACTGTTCCATGTAAACTATAAATTTTCATTCACTAGTTTTTGACAGCAACAATAATTTAATGGCCTCTGTTTAAACATGACAATAACTAATGGTTCACCAGAAGTAATGATGGTCACTGCCTTGAAGAAGTTCTTAAACGGCTCGCCTCTGGCAATGCTATTCAGAGAAGGAATGCTTTTGATGTTGTATCCGAACTGGTTCATATATCAAAAGATTCATCCCATAAAGCTTATCACTCAACCTGGTATGAGATTTTGATTTATTTGCTATAATTTTGTGATTTCCTGAGTTTTCATTGACCTTTCCCTGTTTTTATTGCAGGCAAGTTATAGCAAATCACTTACTGGTATGTCTTGAATACGAAGAAACTGCAATCCAGGAGGAAACACCCAATTTGCTTCCACTGATTGGTTAGCTTTAACCTTATTATGTAATATAAGTGTACTTAATTGTGTGTGACTTCGATAATTTATCACTTCATATCTGCTAATGCTATTTTTATGTTCTACAACTTGTTTGGGTATAAGTTGTTTAAAGTTGTGCAGTGGTTTTTCTTGTGTTATTAATGACATACTTCAAGATAAGATATATGTTATTTTATTCTATTCTTTTGAACACTGATGGTTTGAATGAACTTGCTGTATGACTGAATTATTTATTTATGCAGACTGATCACTTGTAATGCTATTATGTTCTAGAACTTGATTAAGCTGTTGTAGAGTCTTGTGGTTTTGGTTATGCGACTAATCACCTATTTCAATATCTTGATGAAAGCTCTTTTATTCTTTTTTTAACATCAAGAACTTGCTGTATGACTGATTTTTTTTTGCAGACCCATCATTTGTGTTGCCTGCATTAGTTCGTCTTGTCTTCTTATCAGAGGAAAAAGTACTACCAGTAGCTAGTGAGGCCTTATGTAGAGTGCTCAAGCATCACCACCAGAACCCTGAAATTATATGCATGATGCTCGACAGTCTTACGTATGTTGCTTTAATCTTCAGCTTGACTTTAATCAGGAATAAAGAAAAGTATTCTTTTGTTCATGAATGTCTGCCTGTACCTATGTTACTTGGACTCGGATACATATGTGACACGGTTTAGCTAGATTTTTCTAAGTTTTTCTATATATTTGGTGGATCCTTGGAGGTCATATCCCCATATCCAAGTGTCGGACATGAGCATTGGACATGGGTACTTGATGAAAAATGAAGATTCTGAGCAACATAGGCTTGTTTGGAATGCAAGCTTTTGGAGTCTCTCATAACCTGCAAGTTCTACTTCGTAATAAACAGTTTTTGCTTTTATTTAACATTTATCTCCACCAATCCTTACAGCAACCTCAGTCAGGGCCAAGCTGATGCAGAAGCTGGAGCAAGCACAAGGAAAGGTGAGCCTCTTACTGTTGCACTTCTGTAGAAATCAGAGTAATTCTTTGTATTTTCATATTATTTTCAATAGGACAGACTACATCTTTATATACAAATTATCTCTCTAAAGTAGGAAACACTTAAGAAAGGAATTGTATAAATATATGTACATAATCCCTTAACTAAAGGAATGATATCAAATCATAACAAATCATATCTCTATAATTCCTACACTCCCCCTCAAGTTGGAGAATATACATTGTATAATCCCAGCTTGAATAGGAATTTATTGAAAACAGGCTTTGGCAAAGCCTTAGTAAGAATGTCTGCAACTTGTTCTTCTGAAGGAATGTATGAAAGTGTGATCGTCTTTTTGTTAACTTTTTTTTATAGGAAAAGTAGGCCTCATTAAAAACTCCTTTCATGATTAATGGAACACGGAAAAAGTTCCTTAATCAACGGAAGGAGGAAAATACTGCCTTGAATTTCATTAATAATAGGATTAGAACATAAGAATACAATACCCTGAACTCCTTTAAGGAGATCGACAGGTAACAACCCTTAAAAACAAGATGATGATCAACCAATTCCAGTTTTAGCTAGGGTATCTGCCTCTAGATTAGCTGCTCTTTAACCCATCTAATAACACCATCACAAACTCTAAGTTTCTCAATAATATCTTTAACAAAGTGAGCAAAAACATCAGGACATGAAATAGAATCCTTAACCCAGTCAACAGCCACCCTGCAGTCACTTTCAATAATTAGGCGACCCTTGATCCTGTGTCGAATAGAGTAAAAGTAAGATAAGCCCTTGAGGATAGCTTTCAATTCCATCAAAGTAGGAGGTCTTGGCAATTTGATCAGCTATAAAATGCCTATCAATCTCAACATGCTTTGTCCGATCATGTTGAACTGGGTTCTTGGCAATTTGAATAGCAGATTGATTATCACACTAGACTTCAAAGTGATCCTCTTGATTAGTGTTAAGTTCTTTCAGTAGTTTAAGTAGCCAAATTCCTTTGCATATTCCCAATGCTAGTGCTCTGAATTCAGCTTCAACACTACATCTTGAAACGACAGATTGTTTCTTACTTTTCCAAGTTGTAAGATTACCCCAAACAAATGTGCAGTAGCCACTAGTGGATCTCCTTTCAGTAAGGTCTCCGGCCCAACTAGAGTCTGTAAAAATTTTAACAGTTCTGTCTTGTGTCTTCTTAAACATTAAGCCGTGTCCTGGAGTTTTCTTCAAGTACTTGAGAATTCTATTTGCTGCTGCCATATACTCTTCAGTAGGATTAGTCATGTGTTGACTTATCACATTTACGGGAAAGGCTATATCTGGCCTTGTCAAGGATAAATAAATTAGTTTCCCAACTAATCTTTGAAATTTCTCTTTGTCTACTAAGGACCCATCTTCTTTGCTAAATTTCAAGCTTGCCTCTATTGGGGTATCAATCGGCTTACAACCAAGAAAACCAGTTTCTTTGAGTAAATCAAGTACATATTTTCTTTGGTTGATTACAAGTCCTTTTAACTTTGCCACCTCCAATCCTAGGAAATACCTTAGCTTTCCTAAGTCCTTGGTTTCGAATTCCTCATTTAACAACTTCTTCAAATTGCAAATCTCTTCTTCATCATCTCCGGCAAGAATTATGTCGTCCACGTACACAATAAGGATAGCTTTCTTATTTGTAGAAGTTACCTTGATGAAAAGAGTATGATCGGCGAGGGACTGCTTGTAGCCGTTTTTCATAATGACGTTAGTGAACCTTTCGAACCAAGCTCTGGGTGATTGTTTTAATGCGTGTAGAGACTTGTTGAGCTTGCAATCCTTGTTACTTCCTTCAACAGACTTTAAGCCAGGTGGCAACTTCATATAGACTTCTTCTAGCTTGCCATTAAGAAAAACGTTTTTTACATCAAGTTGGTGTAATTTCCAATCTCAATTTACAGCCAAACTTAGGAGTACTTGAACAGTATTCAGTTTCGCCACAGGTGCAAAAGTTTCTGTGAAATCTATCCCATATGTTTGCGTAAAGCCTTTAGCCACTAGTCTAGCTTTGTATCGTTTAATACTACCATTGGAGTTATACTTTACAGCAAAGATCCATTTAAAACCAACAACCTTTTTTCCTTGAGGAAGGTCCGTAATGGTCCAAGTAGCATTTTTCTCTAGTGCACAAATTTCCTCTTCAACATCCCTTCTCCATTTTGAATCCTTTAGAGCTTCAGCTATGCTTTTGGAACCTGTTCTTTATCCAAGTTTGATGTAAATGCTTGAAAAGACGGCATCAATGAATTATAAGCAGCAAAATTTTCAATAGGATGCTTGGTGCACTGTCTAACCCCTTTTCTAATAGCAATAGGGAAGTCATCTAGAGTAGGGGAAGTGGACTTACTGATTTCTTCTTCTATTTCGGCAGTTGGACCCAAATCCAATTCTCGACAAGCATCAGATTGCAAAACAACCTTAGGAATATGTTTTCTTTTCCTTGAATAGACACGAAGTTGTTTGATTGGTGATGTTTGTGAAAGATTTTGAATGGGAGTAGGTGTGGGTGAAGTAGTGATAGGTACTACAGATGAATTAATGGGAGTAGGTACAGGTGACAAATCTGTAGGTAAAGACAAAATTGGTGACAATTCTGAAGGTTGAGAATGAAGAGTAGGAGGAGATACCTGATGTGGCTGAAAATCCTTTCATGTCTCCCCCTGAATTTCAACCTGAGTGAAATAGGGATCTTGTTCATAAAATGTTATATCCATAGTGGTAAAAAATCGTTTAGAAGGAGGATGATAGCATTTATAACCCTTCTTAAGTGAAGAATACCCAACCAGTAAACACTTTAATGATTTATGATCTAACTTGAACTTATTAGGAGCAATGTTTTGGATAAAAACAGTACAACCAAATATTTTAAGTGGAAGAATGGAGGAGATAGGTTTAAAATGGGGAAAGTATTGCAAAAATATAGATTGAGGTGTTTGAAATTGTAAAACCTTACTAGGCATTCGATTGATTAAATATGTGGCAGTTAATAAGGCTTCCCCCACAAATATTTTTGAACATTAGTGGTAAATAGAAGAGAACGAGTAACTTCAAGGAGGTGTCTATTTTTTCTTTCGGTAATACCGTTTTGTTGTGGGGTGTCAGCACAAGAACTAACCTAAACTATGCCCTTTTCCCTAAAAACGCACTCAAAGACTTAGCAAAAAATTCTCTGCTATTATCAAATTTAAAGAGCTGAATTTTAGACCCAAAATGAGTGAGAACCATATTATAAAATTGGGTAAAAACCCCAGCAGTTTCAAATTTATCTTTTAGCAAATAAGTCCAAGTTATCTTACTGTGATCATCAATGAAAGTGATAAACCACTTACAATTATCAACATTCTTTACCCGAGAAGGGCCCTAAATATCACTGTGGGTCAAAGCAAAAGGGTGAGAAGGCTTATATGTAGAAGGAGAATAAGTTGATTTAGTATGTTTGGCAAGAGAGCAAACTTTGCAAGAAAAAGAATTTGGCCTTTTATGAATGAATAGAGCAGGAAAAACTTTTGCAAGATAATGGAAACTATGATGGCCTAAACGATTTGTCATAACATAATATTATCAACTTTTTCTAAAGCAGTAAAAGATTTCGAGATTTCGGTTTTAGTAGAGGCAAGAAGAATATAGAGACCATTCTGCAAGCTGACCTTACCAATAATCTTCTTCGAGTTCAGTGCCTGCAAAGTGCAATCAATATCATTAAAAATTGCAGAGCAGTGCAAGTTAGTGGAAAGTTTACTAACGGAAACGAGATTGCAAGCCAGATTTGGTACGAAGAGGACATTTTTAAGTACAATCTGGTCATTGAGAATAATAGTGCCATGTCCTTCTATTTTGCACAAGGAATCATCAGTCGTTTTGACGGCTTTACCAAAGTTTGGAAAATAATTGCAAAACAAATTACCAATCATATGATCCGTGGCACCAGAATCGAGGATCCAATTAGGGGTCAACTGGGAGGAGAAAAAAACTGTAGCATGAGGTTTACCTTCTGGTTCTTTTATGACCAGATTACCTTCTAATTGAGCAGCAGAACCAGAAAAATTTTCTGGATTCGAAGTGATTTCCGGAGTAGGAGAAGAAGTTGTGGACATCGTCTAGGTTGGAAAGAAACTGTAACCTAATTTGATACCATGTAGAAATTAGAGTAATTCTCTGTATTTTCATATTATTTTCAATAGGACATATTACATCTTTATATACAAATTATCTCTCTAAAGTAGGAAACACTTAAGGAAGGAAAGATACTAATCCTAGGATGTGATCCCTTAAAATAAGGGATTGTATAAATATATGTACAAAATCCCTTAACTAAAGGAATGATATCAAATCATAACAAATCATATCTCTACAATTCCTACAACTTCCTTAGGTTATTTTTCTTCCCAATTTATATTTGCTGAAACAAAGTGCTTTGGATGTGTTCTATAGACTGCTCTCATTGTCTTTTAAGTTCTGAAATCAGTGATGTATGCAGTATCTATCCATCTAGTATTTTTTTTATAGGAATAGAATGTCTCATTAAAAACCTCCCTCATAGATAGCCCTTTCCCAACAGAAAGGATCCACTATTGGAGGGAGGAAAAGAGTGCCTAGTTTTATTGCTGAACCAAAATTACATAAAACTTAACAATTACACCAGAATTCCTGACATAAAACTTAATAACGCCACCTACTTGAGAAACCTACTGACTGGGAAGGAAAATAACAAGTATCTATAGTCTTACAATCAACCAATCCCCATCTTTGCTAAACTATCTGCCTCCCCATTACAAGCCCTTGGAATCAACCTAATTAACAACACCTTTCAGAGAAGAGTGATAGAATTTCTTTAACTAGAGGCAATAAGAAAACAGGCGCCAACTCCGGAAAGTGAACCCACTCCACTGCTGACTTGCAATCACTCTCAACAATCAGCTTAGAGACAGAAAACCATCGTGATGCCAAAAAGATTTCAATGCCTCTTTTAATAGCCTTTAACTCAGCAACTGGTGGGGAACCTTGACCGATATTCCCTGAAAAAGTCAACAGAGTGCAACTATTCCAATCCCTAAGGATACCTCCAATACCACCAACCGAGTCACTTAACCTTACAGCTCCATCGACGTTCATCTTCAAAAAATCAACAGGGGTAGCCAGCAAAGCACAGAGCAATCCTTTAATTCAGAAACCGAAATTCCATCTGCAAGTGAAGGATCCCCAATGAGCAAATCCTCCTGTATAGGAATTTTAGGATACTTGGCTTTAAACCACTTAGATAGCCTAAATCTTACAATGAAAAACAGAGAAATCCTATCAGGAGATAATCCTTCAAACACAATCTCATTCATTGCTTTCCAAATAGACCAAAAAATGACTCCCGGGATAAACTTCCAAATCAATGAATTCACCCTCAAATTCCCCCACGGGATAAGTAAAGAAGGAGGGTCCTTAGGTAAAACTACAGATAAATCCCAAAAGCTTATTACCTTTTTCCATAATTCCCAAACTACATTACACGTAATAAGCAAATGCTGCACTGATTCCCCATGCTTCTTACAAAATGGGCAAAGGATAGCTTCCCCTAAGGACATTCCTCTGTTAACCAACTCCACTTTTACTGCCACTTTCTGATGGGCTAACTGCCAAAGAAAGGCTTCAACCCTTGGTGGGGACAGCCCCAACCACACCCCCTTTGACCACAGATCCTTGTTCCCAACTTCCAACCCGAGCGCATTCTTGCAAGATTTGACCGAAAATAATCCATCCTCACTAGCTGACCACGAGAGACTATCCTCTACAGAATCTGAAAATTTTATATCCTTCAATTTCAACATCAAATCCATCCATTGATCCAACTCTCAGTCAGACAAATTCCTCCTAGTGCAAATATTCCACACCCAACAATTTGATTCATGACTGCCAAATTCAGCAACCTTGCCCCATTTGTTAGGAGATAATGCATAGATTCTAGGGAAAAGATTTTTTAGAGGAACCTCTTCCATCCATGGATCAATCCAAAATAAAATAGACTTTCCATTACCAACTTGCAGCTTCGAATTTGATCTAAGACATAAACCCACCGAATCATTCTTCCAAAATTTGTTGCCAATACTTCTCAAAATCCAAGAAGATCTAGGTGAAATAATCTTGCTGATAGACATCGAGTTGCAACTGATCTTGTGCTTGCTACATATCATTCTTTTCCATACGAAATTCTTTTCATTTGCGAACTTCCACACCCATTTCCCCAATAGTGCTCGATTCGTAAGATTCAAATCAAGAACTCCAAGGCCACCACTGCTAATAGGTTTGCAAACTGAACTCCAATTAATCAAGTGAATCTTCCTCTTATCCTCGCTGTCACCCCATAAAAATTTAGCCATTAAAGAATTTAACTTGCCTACTTTGCAAGGCATTTTAAAAAAAGATAAGAAGAATATGGGCAGGGAAGATAACACAGACTTCAATAGGACTGTCCTACCAGCCAAAGAAAGAGAAGAAGCTTTTCACCCGGCTAGTTTAGAATTAAATTTTTTAACGACTGGCTCCCATAAAGCTTCCGAATTCTTCCTAGCACCGATGGGGAGTCCTAAATATTCTGTTGGAAAACGATCAACTGAACAGCCCACTTCCAACGCCCAATCAGATAGGATTTCCTCATCAACGTTAATCCCAAAAAGTTTACTCTTCGCTAAATTTAAATGCAACCCCGCCATTATACTGAAAATCCTCAAAATTCTTTTAACGTTTTTAATCTGGGTAAGTGAAGCTTGACAAAAAATGATGAGATCGTCAGCAAACTGAAGATGTGATAGCCGAAACGAATTTTCAGAATAACAAAACCTTGGAACAGACCTTTATCCACTGCTTTAGAAAGCATCAAATGCAGCAGCTCCCCTACTATATTAAATAAAAGCGGCGAGAGACTACATCCTTGTCTAAGCCCTTTAGCCATAGAAAACTCATCCGAGGGGGAGCCATTTACAAGAACCGAAATAGAAGCTGAGGAAAGACACTGTGAGATCCATGAGCACCATTTCATACCAAATCCCATCTCCTTCATTGCTCTGAGTAGAATAGGCCATTCAACAGAATCGTAGGCTCTCCGAAAGTCAACTTTTAGTACCACCCCTTGTAGCCCTTGTTTTCTCCATTAGTCGATCCCTTCATTAGCAATAAAGGCACAATCCTCTATCCATCTAGTATTGTATGGATGTCGGTCTATTATATATCATTTTGTATTTCTTTAGTATTCTGACTGATATCTTTTATTGTTTTAAATATTGAGAAAGCATTCTTTTCCATTTGATATGTGTGTGTATGTATTTGGATTCTGAATGTACAGGGATGTTCCAAACTTCCCTCCTTTTTCTTTCTACTCGCTTCCTTGTTTTGTCATCTTTTCCTCATTGTTGATTAAGCATCAAGAATTCAAACTTTGAGCTATCTGTTTCTTTGCAAGTTTCATTAGTTTCTTTGGACGACAATCCTGGATTTATGCAATCTCTTTGTACTGATGTGGCAGGATCAAATTTATGCGATCGAGTGCTAAGGCTGATCCCAGAGTGGTCAAAAACTGTAAGAATTGAGAAGATAACTACCTTGCATTAGATTTATTTTTTCATCACATTTCCCATTTTTTGATGCATTGAGATGATGTGATCTATTAAGAAGATATATAGAGATGTGATATGTGACGTGCTAAAATTTTGAGCTGCATATTTCTCAAGAAAGCGTGATTGGAATTTGCAATGAAATATTCAAAAAAATACAAATGTACATAAATTCATGTTTTCTGCAATTTTTTTATCTACAGACTGACATGCATAAGTACATGCATACATGTGAACCTACATGCATACTTCATATCAGTTACGTGCTAATATTAGTACTAGCTATATAGATAAAAATATAGTGAATTCTTATTTTCCGAACAACAAATGGGAAGAGGAAAAATGAGATAAAGGACTCACTTTGAGGGAAGAACCTTTGTATTATTGAGACTGTTTGAGTTATTCATAGCCTCCTTAATACTAAATCTAAAATCCACAATTCTCTGGGAGAGTTGAGTGGCATACATTCAGACTTCTTTCTTGTTTCCTTTTATCTTTGTGATATCTAATTTTACTTTTTTCTAATTTTGAAGTATTTTTCTGTATAGATCTTTCATGTTTAACTGGCATCCTTACAGCAGGGGAACTTTTTCTGCGTAAATCTTATATCTTTATATCTTGCTAATAATCCTACTGTCCTTGGCCTAGTAATAAGAACTTCCGTGTCTCTTTGTTTTCGTTGTTGGTCTGAATGTCTATATGATGAAAAAACCTGGTCTTCTTATGCCATTATTATTGTTGTTGTTATTATTATCCCTTTTTATTCCTAACTTGAGAACTTGCTTGTTAATTGAATTGCCGAAAGAATTTTGTTTCATGGTTACTTCTTGCATTTTGCAACATACTTTTGTGTTGTAGTTATTCTTTTTTATAGGAAAAAGGCATCGTTAAAAACCCCCTTCTTAATCGTCAAGCTACATAGGTATCTTAATGATCATTGGAAGGAGGAAAATAGTGTCCAAATTTTATTACTAAAACATGAAGTACATCTTGGGTATAAACCATCTTAATTACAACCTTCCCCACAAAACAAAACCTTTACCCTAAAAGACATTCAACCTACACAACCAAGTAGGGGTGTTCATTTGGTTAAAACAGTGGCCGACCAAACCGAACTATCCTTAACCGAATTAACCGAATTTTTTTTTTCTTTAACCGTTAACCGAACCGAACTTTTTTTCAAACATATTAACCGAACCGAATTAATTTCGGTTAATTCGGTTAATTTTCAAATTAACCGATTTTTTTTTAAAATTTTCTAATTTATATAAAAATTAAATATTTTTAATTCAAAAAAAGTTTATAATTAATTTAAATAATATATAATTATAAAATAAAAATTTCAGATAAATTTTTTAATTAATTAATATTGATTTAGATTTAAAAGTTATTGGATCTTAAATTATTAATTGAGTTTTAAATTGTTAAGGCTTAGCCCAAATGTTATATATAATATATATATAATATTTTTTAATTAAAAAAACAGTTTACAATTAATTTAAATAATATATAATTATAAAATAAAAAAATTTTATAATTTTTTTAATTAATTAATATTGATTTAGGTTTAAAAGTTATTGGATCTTAAATTATTAATTGGGTTTTAAATGGTTTGGGCTGAGCCCATATGTTATATATAATATATTTAATATTTAAAATTTAATTTCGGTTAATTCGGTTAATTCGGTTAATTAACCGAATTCGAACCGAATTAACCGTTAACCGAATTATAAAAATTTTCTTAACCGTTAACCGACCGAACTAATTCGGTAACCGAATTAACCAAACTAATTCGGTTCGGTCGGTTAACCGAATTAGTTCGGTTATTTGAACACCCCTACAACCAACTGGAAACACCCTACATTACCTTATGCCCGACTTAGCTAAATCATTTGCTTCCCAATTAATACATCTATGAACATGCCTAATGATCATATTATAATCCAGCAAGCGCTTGACAATTTCCTTAACCAGATGAACAAAAGCGTCAGGACTTGCTTTCGGATTTTTAATCCAATTCAAAGCATTGGAAGAATCGCTTTCCAAAATAAGACGCCCCTTTTTCGCTCCACTTCGAATCCAAAAAAAGATTCAAACCAACTTGAATTGCTTTGAGCTCAGCAAGAATCGGAGGGCCTGGTCCAAACGCATACGAGAAGGACCCCACCAGCTTACCTTCAACATCCCTAAGCAGTCCACTGATACCGCTGCACCTCCAGTCACATCTTACAGCCCCATCCACATTTACTTTAAAATAACCTGGTGGAGGGGGACACCAATAGGGCGAGGGAGGAATTCTCTTCATCGGATCAGTGTGCAAATCAGCCAAAGTTAGATCTCCCACAAGACAATATAGGAGAACAGGGAAATTGGACTTCTTTGTCAAAAATCAGGCAACCACCCTATATCTAGCCAAAAAAAAAATAGATTTGATAACCATCTTCTGGTGAAAAACCTATCATAAAAATGCCTTCACTTTTGGAGGTACAATTCCAACCCAAACAAGCTTCGACCAAGGCATCCGGATCGAGGGCTGAATCTCAGCAAAAGCAAATATTTGGCGTTAACATTAGTGGGGAAGAGGTTGAGGAGAGGGCGGGTGACATTGGTTGTTCAGTTGGTCGTTTCCCTTCTGATTATCTAGGGCTGCCACTTGGTGCTAACATGAACTCTTTAACTTTGTGGGATCCGGTTGTTGAGAATTTTTTTAAGAAGCTGGACGGTTGGAAGGCAAAAACCCTTTCTTTGGCAAGGAGATTGGTATTGTTGAAGTCGTTGTTGTGCTAGTTACCTACATATTTTTTGTCTTTATTCAAGATTCCTGCTGCGGTGAATTTAAAACTAAATTTCATCATGGCCAACTTTTTATGGGAAGGCGGGGCAGAGTCCAAAAAGATTCACTAGGTTAACTGGTCGACAGTGTGTAAAGCAAGAAGTTTTGGTGGTCTAGGTGTGTTGAATCTTAAATTCATGAATAGAGCTCTACTAGGGAAATGGTCTTGGAAGTTTGCTAATGATAGGGAATCCATTTGGAAGAAGGTGATTTGTAACAAATATAATCTGAACTCTAGTCTGTTATTGTTCAAGAGTAAACTTCCTACAAATGTCTCTTGGCTTTGGAAATCGGTGGTCATTAACCATTTTAAAGAAGATCAGTTTAGTGCTAAGTTTCGAAGTTTGTTCCTAGTCAAAGTGGGTAATGGAGAGAGTATCCGTTTTTGGTTTGATATACGGGCATTAGATTCTCCTTTTAAAGTTATCCCGAGATTATTTACTCTTTCTATGAATCATAATGGGAAGTTAATTGAGTTTGGGGAGTTTTGATCAGCAGGGTGGTCTTGGCATGTTTAAATGAGAAGAATTTGTGTGATTGGGAACTGGATCAGTTTTCCGACTTACTTGCTATCATTCATAATATTAGTCTCTCCCAAGAGTCGAGAGATGGTCTGTTCTGGAGAGGAAATGGGGAAGGTATTTATTCTGTCAATTCTTGTATGAAGTTATGTTACTATGATTCGGCAGCTGAGACTTTTTGGATGAAAAACATTTGGAGGGGCTTGGTGCCTCCAAGAGTGGAGACTTTTATGTGGCAGGTAGTGCACCAGAAATGGCAGTAAAGTCTGAATTACAAAAGCGAGGGGTTTCGGGGATTGTAGACATTACATGTCCTTTTGTAAAAGGGAAATCGAATCTCCATCTCATTTATTATTCACCTGCTCTGTGGCGTGGTTCCTATGGAATAAGTTTATGAATTTTTGGAAATTTAGTTCGGTTCTACTTGTCAATGCTCAAAAGTTTTTTACTAGCTTGGGATGATTTGGTGTCTTATTCTTGTATTTGGTCCTTTATCCCCGGAGTCGTTCTTTGGACTATTTGGAAACACGGAAATGCCATTGTGTTTGAAGGGGGGTCGTTAGATCAGATTGATCTATTTTTTATGGCAAGATTCAGGCTAGCTTCTTGGTTCTTAGCTAAGTTAAAGGATGTATCTATTTCTAAGGACTCTCTCATTAGTGATCCCTCTATTGGAGATTTATGCTATTCTTCCAGGAATTTGATTCTAAATATTGTGCCTTGGCTTCCTCCTCCAAAGGGCTTTCTAAAATTGAATGTGGATGCAACTTTGAGTGGTGATTGGCGAAAAAGCAGTATAGGTAGTTTATTAAGAGATGAGGTTGGTACGTTGATGGGTTCTTTCCAAGAGGCTTCTGGTCCAGGTCCTCCTACTTTGATGGAGCTTAAAGCCATTAAAAAGGGTTTAATTTTCTTTCATTCTCTTCTTCAAAGGTCCAAGAATCGTTTGATTGTTGAAACTGATAGTAAACTAGCAGTGGAATGAGTTAAGAATTTAGATAGATGTCCTTTTGTTTTTGTTGATTTAGTGAAGGACATTGCTACTCAGTTAAGAGAAATGGAGGGTGTGATTAAATGGGTTGCTAGAACAACTAATATAGAGGCTGATACCTTAGCTAAGACTGGCATTGGTTAGTTTTATTTTTTGTTTAGGATGTTTTTTTGAGTGTTTTAGGTTGTTCATTGTAGGGGGTTTTGGCTGTTTTTTCTAACATTATGTAACTTTTCAGTTATTAATGAATTTTGAGGCACTCTTTTATTCCTTCCGCTGATTAAGGAGCACCTATTGGTGCTCCTTTAATCATGAAGGGGGTTTTTAATGAGGCCTCCACTTCTTATCAAAAAAAAAAATCAAAATGTCCTCTTTTAAAGACGGCCAGAATCTTTTGAAGAACCCCATGTTCAATCCATCCGGTCCCGGCTCCTTGTTGCTATCTGACAACGTAATTGCCTCCCAAATTTCCTCCTCGGAAAAGTTCCTTTCCAAAAAAGAACACTACTCCTCGGTTAACTTAGTGAAAGGCAAGTCCAAATCCACCATCGCCAATGTTGGCTTCAAGTTGTATGCTTTCTTGAAGTACTTAAGAACACTAGATTTTATCTGAACCGGGTTCGAAACCAACTTACCATTCACTTGCAAAAACTCCAGGGCATTAACCCTTCCCCTATTTGAAGCGCACCGGTGAAAATATCTTGAATTCAGATCTCCATCCCGAATCCGCTTCGCCCGAGATTTCTGAAATCAAATTTGTTTATCTTTTTGATACAAAGACCACAACTCCTTCTTAGCTCTCGCAATGGACTCCATCAAAACCAAAGAAGACCCCTGTTGTGCTTCTGCCTCCAATTCAGAAATAGACTTCTCTAAATTCACAATCATTCTCGGCAGCTTGTAAAAGTCCTAGAATTTGAGGCTTCCCTTTCACAAAGATAGGGACAATGTAGATGAATATGCATGAACATGCAGTGGGTGCATAAATGCACTCATGTGGATTATGAAGTTTAATACTTCTTCAACTTAAAATAGTTTATTTGCGTTGCTGATAGTAGAACCATGGACTAGGTTGAGATGTGCATGTTTAAACCAACTTGTTTTGAGATGATTGGTTTAGTCCAGTTGTTTACTCCAATGTGATGGTCATTATTATCTTATTTTTGTTGGTTCTGTACTATGTGAGAACCAAGACATTTGCCTAATAGATTCTTTCCTCTCCACATATATGTATAAGTTTGATCAATTTTCTGTATGTGTAACTATGAAATTGGATGGTTGGAGCTCCATATTTGGTGCCGGTATGTGAATTATTTAATTTTCTTGTTCTGAAATATTTCAGGTTCAAGACTGGAATGCATTAATTGGACCGTTGATTGACAAGATGTTTGCAGAGCCATCCAATGCTATTATCGTCAGGTTTTTGAGTCACATAAATGAGCAGTTAGCTGAAGCCGCAGATGTAGTCCTTTCTCGTGTTGTTTTAAAAATGAAAGGCCAGAAAGAGTAAGAACATCATATAACACAAACTATCATATGACATGTTTTTTGTCTTAGCCTTTTTAAGGCTTGTTTCAACTTTAAAAGGAGCGAGTATATTGTATAAGGCTCATGGCATTGAGCCAGGAGTACCTTTATGCTTGTTAAGTATTTTTTTGAAGTGGCAAGTGCGCATTTGATAAGATAGGAAGGCATGTGTATGATATGAAAATATTCCCTTAAAGACAGGGCAGATTTCATGGCTGTCAGGTAAGGCATGGGTGGAATGTAGTGGAATCTGCAAAAATAGGGAGTTTAACAAGGTGTGAAAAGGTGTAGAGAGTTTAATTAAAAGGTGTAGAGAGTTTAATTAAAAGGTGTAGAGAGTTTAATTAAGTAACCAGGAAGTATTATTTGTAGAAGAATGTTGAAGACAAAAATGAGAGTAAAACTCATTATTTGAATGATAAGGAGATATGCATATTAGTGTTGTCAAGGCGTGCTCCTAGGCTCACCTGCACCTTAACATTATTCAACAAAAGTGCCTCAGACCCATTTTGCGTGTGCCTAGGCATGCTTTTTTAAAGGCCATAGGCACAAAGAAAGCCCGCCTGATTGAGTTTCCCTTTAATTTCTTATATTTATCACTTTTTTTTCATGTGATATATCTTTATTGAAAGGAAAGGGGAATATTGAACTCTATATTTCGTAATATTAGATCATTCAACAACAATCCTTGATCATAAGGAAATCATGCATTTTGTCCAATAAAAAAAATTGCATATCAGGCTAGTGCTGTTTCTAGCACCTTGCACCTGAAGCAATATAAGGGTTTAAGCATCTAGAGTTCACCTTGTGCTCTTCACAAATGCATATAGTTACTTGGCAATCTAACTGATAGGTTTCTTTATAATGTGTCTTGGCCACACAAACGATAATACTTGAGAGAACCGCCAATACATAGAATGTTTGGTCACATAAGATAAGAAGCTTGTCAGTTAATCTATTTTAATGTTCTGACTACATATTTTTGGGGTACAAAAGGGTCCCCTGCTTTTGAATAGGTAAGGTTGTAGATGCTAGGACTCAAACCCCTAGACCTGTTGAATGCCATCTTATTAGGTTGGCTGTGGAAACAACTAGGCTAAATCTGGGGGTCATTATGTAAAGTTACCCAATTGTATGTGATACAGCGAGGTCTGTAATTTCCTTGGCAAACAATCATTTTATTCTTGCAATAACTTATTTATTGGTTACATTTGTTTTTGGAACAAGTTTTAAAGGAGTAAACTTTCAGTCGTTAGCTTCTTTAAACAATTGTGTTAATTGCTAGAAGCCAAGAGGTTAGGATTGTCTACTTGTCAATAAAATGTTTGTTTTTCCAATTTTGGATCATTTAAGGAGACTAATTTATGTATTAGATAAATCTTGTGCATGAAGCACGTTTATTTGACATTTGAAGGGATTATTCAATGGTAGGTCTTGCACTCTTGCTGTTTTCCTATATGAACCGCCAATTTTCCACTCTTGTAGGATTGATGAAGGTTTCTTATCTAGATGGGAGACAAGAACTTGTACAAGTGATGACTCAATGAGAATGCAGCAATCTTTGTTTGAGCGACTTTGCCCTTTACTCATAATTAGGCTGCTTCCGTTAAGAGTATTTAATGATCTCAATTCCTCTGTTATGTATGGTCAACTTCATAATGCGCCTTTTATGAATGGTATCGTTTCTTCCTTACATATGGCAATCCAAGTTGTTGCATTCATATCTCTTTTTGGATTGAAGATCTGGTTGACTCCATAATTTCGTGATGCATGTTACAAATATTTAAATAATTGATTACATTTTATACTCTCTTTTTCCTTGCCTATGACAAACATTAAGTTATATCCTTTCCATCTATTCATGAAAATGTGATAATAATATATTTAACTAATTGATCACGATTTACACTCTTGTTCTTTAGATAGAAGAAAAAGAAAATAATGTCATGGATAACTTTGATTCTATTCTATTGCAGAATATAGAGATGTCTACCTCATTGATGATGATAGTGTTGCTGCTTTCCTTGTTAATAGGTCAATCCTTGACAATGAGTATTTTATTAACTTCTGTAATCTCGTTGGCATTCTACTAATGTTGTTACTTTTCCCGTTTCAGAGCATTTAGTAAGTTTGAGTTTGAAGATGTAAGAAAACTTGCTGCTGAGCTTTGTGGGCGCATCCATCCTCAAGTACCCAGCAATGACTTTGCTTAATTATTTTTTTTCACCGTCTTTCCTTGACATATTCCGAGATTTTACATAAATATATTTGTAATCCTTATATAGAGATGTTTTTCTTATTTGCCTCATGGTACTTTAGGTTCTGCTTCCACTTGTTTGCTCGCAATTAGAGCACGCTGCAGCATCTCAGGATATATTGAAAATTATTGCGTGCCTGTTTTCAATGTGTACATCCCTTGCGGTAATCATGTTCTCTTCTTAGTAGATATTTGTTAGTGAAGGGTATATTCCTGCAATAATTGAGTTCATCTTTAGAGCTAATTTGAAGCTTTCTTCTTGTTTCTAGGTGCGAGGGAAGGAGTCCCTTGTGCATCCCTTTGTTCTTCAAATCCGGAGAACAATTGAAGTGATTTTGTTATGGCCGTCATCAGATGGTGACCAAGGTACTTAACGTTGCAACTGACTAATTCTCCTTCCCCACTCCAGACTAGAAAGTTAATGATCCTCCAATTAATATTTTAGCAGTATGTCTGAACTAATCTTTTTGCTCTCTCAGTTTCCAAAGCACAACACGGTTGCATTGATTGTCTGGCACTGATAATATGTGCCGAGTTGCAAGCTCCTGAATCATTTAAAGACTGCACCTCATGGAGGAGTGACATTGTTGTTCAGAAAGGTAATTGTGGTTGGTATTTTATTCCTGATATGAACATATATGTTATACAACGATCAAGGTATCAGTCTTTGGTGTAAACTGTAGGGAATGCTACTGGAAAACTCTGTGCCCTCAGACATGTGATCAGTCAATTAATAAATGATAAGACTGGACATATCCCTGGGTCCGAGTTGCCAGATGAAAGCCGTGAACCGGTTCCTGTTCCTTTTCGTCTATGCATGGCTAATGTTCTCATCAGTGCTTGTCAGAAGATATCTGATGGCAAAAAAGCTCTAGCTAAGACAATTCTTCCATGTCTAATTGGTTTTGCTGAGGTACTTCTGTCACCGAATTTGTATATCCAGTTGATTTTAATTTCTTTTAGTTTCAACGGCAGATGCTGATCTTCTGTTCTTTTTTATCATATTATTACTTTGCCTGCATGGGATCAAATTATGTAGGTAATAAAGCAACCTCAGGTTAGAGCTGCGTGCATCCAGGTTATGTTTTCTGCTGTGTATCATCTGAAGTCTGCAGTTCTTCCGTATTCTTGTGATCTGCTCAAGCTCTCTCTAAAATTCCTTGGAAAGGGATCAGAACAGGTATTATATTGTCTCCATTTTCCTTTTTTTTAGAAATTCTCATAACCTCTCCATTTTCGGTTGTTCTTAGATTCTAGTATATGATCATGTGCATTACATGTGAATATATGCTTTTTTAAATATTTATTATTGATATATTTTTAAACTATACTTAGAAAATATAAATAAACTTTTAACAAATAAAAGATTTTAACAGTCTAATCCCAGCCTAAATATTATAAAACAATATTCATGAAATTAGGAATTTTATATTAAATGAAAATCTTGCAAAGCAAAAATGTTCATTTAGATGAACTAATATATATTAACAGGATTTACAACTATTTCCAAGTATACTAATATAAAAACATTGATTTGAGTGATTGATTGATTATTATTTTGATATCTAAAATCCCTCCTCAGCTTCAAAAAGGATAAATCGTGATTATGAAATATAAAGCAAAACATGTTATGTAGTATTCATTGAAATGGATGAAAAAAAATTAATTTGAGAAATTTAGCACATCTATATTAAGAGTAATATAAATAATTATTCTAAAAACAATATTTTAATATAATTAAAACTCTTTTCTCATTATTAAAATTATATTTTATACATTGTAGAAATTTAACCATTTATGTTACCGTTCACGCTTTTAATCGCAGCCTTCTATGGTTTTCCTTATTTATAACTAACAGGTAAACATATATGTTTTTAATCATTTTTGTTGTGTTTTCATCAGTTAATAGATTCTCGTTATATATAACAAGAAATAGTAAAAGGCCAATTACAATTGTAACTGATATTTAATAATAACAGCAATAATGAGAAGCATATTGAACAACAAATGGTAATGTTGACATCTAATGAGTGAGTTAAAATGTAGGTTTACATCGGTTCAAAGTTTCTATATATATCTTGACACCCACAAAATTATTTTTTATTGTGGGATCGCATGATTGTACCCACGAAGGTGTCCAAACTTTACAAAAGTTGAGCAATTATTTTTACTAATGCTCATATTAGCTGATTTTACTAAGCTTACTGGTGGCTAGTTTCCGTGATGGTACTCGTACATTCTTGGATCCTTCACTTTCTTTATCAATTCGATTGCCCCACAGCTGTGTTCATTCTTTCTTTCCTCTCTGCATCATTAGAACTTAAAATGTGATAAGAGTTTATTTAAGTTGGTGCTGATTGACCAATTGATTATCATCAGGAAAGGATGGCAGCTGCAAAGCTTATGGCTTCTCTTATGGGGAGTGAAGATTCGATTTTGGAGAGTATATCTCACCTATTACTGGAAGCAAGGTCTGTACTTTCTGATATCACTTTGACTGATCCATCACTTGACATTCAACAACTTTGTAAAAGGTTGCTAACGTGCATAACTTCAACATAGCTTCTCCTTTGCTGCACTAGGAAAAAGATACATAACCATGTTTTATCATGAGCAAGAATAGGGAATACTGCCATGGGTGTATATTTACTAGCAGAAAAATTACATACATTCGATCATATCTGCAGTCCTAATGTGTGCTTGTATCAGGTATGTATATACATGCGTGCGTGTATCGTTCTCATATTTAGTGTATTTTATTTTCAATATTGTAGGTTGTATCTCTTTAGAAATATTTGGCGTACTTCAAACTTTTTCCCAGCCCCAACACACAGGGAGTTGATTTTTTCATGACTCGTAAATCAAAGCAAACATTTGCAATGGAAAAATGGAAAAAGAATGGATTAGGGTTCCCTTTCCGTTCCTATTTCTTAGTGGAAGAAAGTGGTTGAAATCACATCTATAACCTATAATTAAAAGTAAACGCTAAAACAATATAGTTGTAAGGTTTTGAATTAAGAGGTTATGTTTTGGGTATAGCAAAGCAAGGCGGATAATATAATTTAAAAGGTAGGTAGGGCAGTGACTTGTACGATTTTTAATATAAGTAAATCTTGGGATTAAGCATCGACACTCTTTCAAATATGGGATTGTACTACGTTGTGATTATTTGTTTCACATTTTGATACTTCACATCAGTAGTACAATTTTAACTCAAATTTATTTACTTAAGAATGTGATATGTTATAGTTCAGCAATTGTTCAAAAAAAGAGAAAGAAAGAAGATTGTAATGTGAAAAACTAACCGATGAGGCCTTGGTAGTAGACTAATTTTTTTTTTTGGTTATAATTCTAATTTCTTGCTAACAATTTCTAAATAAAATAAAGGAAGATTGTATTACTCGTACATTAACGTAATTTCGTGGGCTTCGTTGGTTGGTCAAATAATTTAGGCAGGAAATTTTATTAGAGAGCTATAGGTGTTTGAGAATTAATTTGACACTTAAATCATTTGTTATACTACATGTGAAAATGATGAGTTTTGTAAACTATAATTAATAATTTGAAAATTTACTTTAAACAAATAAAAAGATTAGAGATGACCTGAAACAGAAATAATAAATAGCAAAAAGTTGGTAAGTGGTTCGTTTACAAGATCGCAAAGAACTACATGTATGGATGAACAAATTAATAAAAAAAGAAAGAAACAAAAGTATGAAGTAAATAAAACCAAGAACTGAAATCAATTATACACTAGTTTTCGAGGATAAAAAACAAAAGCAAATGCGAAGAGTTGGTAAATATTGTTCTTTTATTAATTTATTTTTGGTTTAACTATTTACATTTGATTATTAGCTTATTAATATGAATTGGGTACCGTAAAAATTTATTATAGAGAACTTTTACAACGTCAAAATTCAAATCTCTAATTTTATTTAAGAGACTTGACAACTTATCTATTTATTCCATTTAGTACGTCAAAATTTTATCTTATCTTAGGTTCTTTATTAACAAACTCCCTAATTTTCTTTTCTTTAATATTTTCCTCAAATTTTCTTTTACCCAAGTAATAATTGATACACACTATAAGTGTTTCCGTTTTTTTGTGATAGAAACAGGTAGTAATACATAGTAGACAACGATAATAAAAACATATATTTTATAATAATAAATAATATTTATTTGATTTTTTTTATTTTTTACCATTGAAGTTAAGAGATCATCACCAGTATTTATTAAACGAACGTCTATTCTGAGCCTAACAATTCATATAAAAAATACTGATAACTTGTTTTGGATTGAATTAAAAAGAAGAGAATCTGAGCGAGGAAGAGAATTCATCCTTGCTTTGTTTTACTTAATTTTTTAATACACAATTTGAGGGAAAATAAGAGGAAAGGAAACACATTAAAAATTATAATACTTAAAATTTAAATTTCACTCTTCGTTCTGAACCCAAAATCTAAGAAGTCATTATATATACAAAGACTATTAAATATTAGCCAACGAATTCTTTATAAAGCCATTTCTATTGACATATTTTATTGGTTCTTACCGACTATTTTTTTTTCGTAATTGTATTACCTAACGTGCAATATATGAGGGACAAAAGAAACATAATTACCCAATACTATTGTTTATTTTATGGAAAAAAATAACCATCCAAATAGAAAATAAATGTATTATTCTTTTTCTCTTATCTTTTTCATAATATTTATTCAAACATGGGTAATATCTTTGAGTAATACTAAAATTATTTAAAAAATTAAAATTAAAAAATCCTTGAAGATTCATGAGTGATAAAATTGTTTAACAACCCAAGTTAAACACCAAAATTCATTTATAACTCTTCGTAATTAAAAACAAATCAATTTCTCCTGTAACGGACTCCCATTCAATTGTGTCATTAGTTAAAACCAAACAATTAGATTTGATGATCCAAGGCAAACCATGCCAATTTAAACATACCAATTGTTCTTCGAGATGGAGGCGGATACAAACATCTCTTTTTAAAAGTAAAACCAAGCACTGCTCTACTGCTAAACTCACTGTACATATCGGGTAATATCAGAAACTCGAAATTCTTCCAGGGAACCAGAAAATACCTGATTATAGGTTTAAGACGGAGAAGGCTCTGCTCCATCATGTAGTGCACAGCAAACAGTTGCCTTGTGATGTCCTTGATATGTCTTTATCTCTTCACCGCTTGTCATTGACCATAGCTTGGCTGTTGTATCAGACGAGGCTGCAATCCACACACATTTCATTAAAATACAGATCGAATTCACGAGGAAATATCACATTTTCCAGGGTAAAAGAAAAAAAACCCTTCAGTTATTAGATTGTTTTCTTTCAAGTAATATGGAACATCTATGTTATACCAGCAACCCACTCACAAAGGAAAGGATTGAGTAGGCCTAGCAGATCAAGGTGAAGACCATTGCAAAACAAGCGTGTACAAATGGTAATGAACAAGCAAGGGGAAGTGGATGAAGAAAGAAAATCATAAATAATAAACTAACAAGCAAGTGCCAAGAGCATATAGCTCTAAAATGCAGCCATTATGCAATGTAGCGGGTATTTCATAATGGATTTAGAGTGGCAGTGTCTCTGCCATCCCTGATACGCAATTGTAAAGGCTTACCTGCCATTCAACAACCTTATAGAGCAGGAAAAGAACATCAGTATAAATACAATTCCACAATTCAACCACTAATTGAGTCTATCTAGCATCTAGTTGAACAGAAATGAAGAGAGAAAGGGGGGGGAGCCTATGATGGTACACGTTTCTTTTTTTGAGTTTGAAGGATATTTGGCAACTTATGGAAATAGTTTCAGAGAAGTGGAACCATGTATTTAGTATTTAAGCATTGAAACCGGAGGATGAGCTGCTTTACCATTTGGCAAAGTGAGAGAGTAAGAAAGATACATGTCTTGAAGTTCCATGGGTTTTAATCCAATAACAACACAAGCTTCATGCAATTTTCTGGTATTAGTAAATAACATTAGAACATAAATAAGATATTTTGCAGATGTAATTTGTTTGTTCAAGATTGTGACAACCATGAAGGGTTATGTAACATCCACAATGCCCATAACTGAGATGAAATCCACGACTGCTAGTACTATTGCCAAGTGAAAGATAAAATCCAATGTCATATATAGGGAGAGAGATGCCTTCATGCCTTCAATGTCATATTTTGGCACAGGTGTTGCCGAACCGAAGTGGATGACATAAACAAAGTGAGGGCACCCAAATGGTTGGAAAAAGTGGTGCATGTAATCTGGATGCAATATTAAAACCAAATACCTGTTATGAGATAGGCACCATCCACTGAGAAAACACAATCCCATACCCAGCGCTGATGTCCTGATACGTAATAACACACAAAACAAGAAAAACCTTTTAAATCAATTCACAGTTGGCTTAATTTATGCAGGCAAAATTATAGCACGGCTTAAAGTTGAGAACTCAGTGCATACCTATTAAAGTTTTCTCCAATGTGAAGCCATCAACATTCCATATCTTCACAGTGTGGTCAGAAGATGCAGTGGCCAAATATCTGAAAGATATGCTAACAGTAATTACACTAGCATCGGAATACAGACACAAAATTAATTTTCTCCAGTAAGAAGCCAAAAATTAAAATGAAAAACTAAAAGATTTAATCTCAAGCGTTAGAACCTGTGGGGCTCACAAAACTCAGGAGAAAGGAGACATTTGAGTATGTATCCATTATGTGCTTGTAGCTTGTGAAGTGGCTCAAAGTTGGTCATAGTCTGCAAGAAGAAAAAAATAATGCTTATTAAGAAAAGACATAATAAGTTAATAAAAGACCAGTTATAACACAACTCAAATAAAATTGTAACCTGGTTTCCTTTTAATAGACGCCAAACGTAACAGGTACCATGGTTATTTGCAGCAACTACTAGACTTCCATCCCACATGACAGTAAGAGACCTCACAGCTGTATCTACCTCGGGCACCTAGATTTACAAAATTGATAATAAATAATAATTGACAGCTTAACACACATCATTCTCAGGTGCATAACTGAATCAATTGTGTGTGGGAGAGGGTGGGGGTAAAGAAGCAGATGAGAGGATGGGGAAAGAAGCAGATAATGCAATTATACAGTGCCTAAATGTAGAAAAAATATTCAAGGCCTTTCTGAAAGACATAGGAGGCAAGGATACAACTTTGCAGGCTGCAGCTAGCTCAGAGTACATGAATACTGTTCAGGTTAGGATATCATATAAACAGCCCAAAAATAATATGAACAATTTCCTCAGTCAAAGTTACTAAACAGCAGTCTAGAATCTAATAAATTATTTTCCTTCATGTGATGCCCACGATAGCTATCTACAAATGCTTCCAAACTCATCCACGGATCTTTAAAACAATTACCTTTTAGCAATGAGTGCATATATCCAATAGCTTTATAACAAGTTCGTCAATAAAATATTTCAAAAATCTTACTACAAAAAAGGGGTCAACTTAGGATGTCCACGAAGCATAAAGTTCATGTTGATGAAAGAGACCTCTCATGTATATATGTTCATGTAAATGAATCCAATAAGTAGATATAAACTGTAAAATGAAGATAGAAGAAAGAAAAGAATACCAATTCACAGCTGCAAGAATTAGCTGTTAAATCCCATACACGAATGTTTCCATTTTGGTCACCAGATATCAACTCTGTCTACAAAATCAAGGATATACAGCAATCAAGAAAGCATGTCTAACAATCAATGATGTACAAGTGAGAGAAAATAAATAAAAGCAACAAGTAAGCTACTGGGTAAATGCTGTCCAATAAATAGTAAAGATAAACATGTCTAATAAAATCTTTTCTTCTTTGATTGGTAAAAAGCCGATGGGTTTGTAATCAAATGCCAGGTTTTTTCCAATTACCCTATTAGCTAGAAGACGATGAGAAACAGATAGGTTTGTTAATTATCACAGAGGCATATAATGAACCCATTCATGGTGCAAACACCTCAACAGAGCAACAGTGAAATAACCAAAATGCATAAGAGGAAATTGACATCCAAGAAAAGCCAACACAATCTCTGCTTAACAACATTACACAGACATGTGTTCTTTTGAAAACAGTAGTTTTGTGGCATCACCACAAGTTTAT